TGTCGTGATTGTAGTAGTTTGAGAAGTGGTAGTAGTAGCGAGGTAGTGGTAGTAGTAGTAGTAGTCGTCGTCGTAGTAGTAGTCGTGGTAATTGTAGCCGTAATCGTAGTAGTAGTAGTAGTAGTAGTAGCGGCAGTAGTACTAGTAGTAGTAGTAGTAGTAGTAGTAGTAGTAGTAGTAGTAGTAGCAGTCGTAGTAGTAGTAGTAGTAGTAGTAGTAGTAGTAGTAGTAGTCGGCGGCGTGGGAGTCGTAGTAGTAGTAGTAGTAGTAGTAGTAGTAGTAGTAGCAGTAGTAGTAATAGCAGTAGTAGTAGTAGTAGTAGTAGTAGTAGTAGTAGTAGTCCTAGTAGTAGCTAGTAGTAGTTAGTAGTAGTAGCAAGTAGTGGTAGTAGTAGTAGTAGTAGTAGTAGTAGTAGTAGTGATGGTGGTGGTGGTAGTAGTAGTTGAAGTCGTAGTGGTAGTAGTGGTAGCAGGAGTAGTAGTAATCGTAGCAGTAGTAGTAGCCGTAATCGTAGTAGTAGTAGTAGTAGTAGTAGTAGAGTAGTAGTAAGTAGTAGTAGTAGTAGTAGCATAGTAGTAGGTAGTAGTAGTAGTAGTAGTAGTAGTAGTAGTAGTAGTAGTAGTAGTAGTAGTAGTAGTAGTAGTAGTAGTAGTAGTAGTAGTAGTAGTAGTAGCGGTCGTAGTCGTAGTCGTAGTAGTGGTAGTAATCCGAGTTGAGGATACCGTCGTCGGAGTAGTAGCAGTAGTAGTAATAGTGGTAGTAGTTGTAGTAGTGGTGGTAGCATTCGTAGCAGTAGTAGTAGTAGTAGTAATAGTAGTAGTAGTAGTAGTAGTAGTAGTAGTAGTAGTAGTAGTAGTAGTCGCAGTAGTAGTAGTAGGGGTAGTCGCAGTAGTAGTAGCAATGCTATTAGTAGTAGTAGTAGTAGTAGTAGTAGTAGTAGTAGCAGTAGTAGTAGTAGTGCCAGTAGTAGTCCTAGTCGTAGTAGTAGTAGTAGCAGTAGTAGTAGTAGTAGTAATGGTAGTAGTAGTAGTAGTAGTATTAGTAGTAGTAGTAGTAGTAGTCGTAGTAATAGAAGTCGCCGTATAAGTAGTAGTAGTAGTCGTGGTTGTAGTAGTAGTAGTCGTCGTTTTTCTGCTAGGTGTCGTAGCAGTAGTAGTAGTAGTAGTACTAGCAGCAGTCGGCGCACTAGTAGTAGTAGAAGTAGTCGTAGTAGCCGTAGTAGTAGTAGCAGCAACAATATTAGCAGCGGTATATCGCAGTAGTTCTCGTAGTAAGAGTAGACGTAGTAGTAGTTTTCGTGGTAGTAGTCGCAGTAGTAGTAGTATTTGTAGTAGTAGTAGTAGTAGCAGTAGTAGTAGTAGTAGTAGTAGTAGTAGTAGTAGCAGCAGTAGTAGTAGTAGTAGTAGTAGTAGTAGGTAGTAGTATAGGTAGTAGTAGTAGTATAGTAGTAGTAGTAAGCAGCAGTAGTAGTAGTCGTAGTATAGTAGTAGTAGTAGTAGTAGTAGTAGTAGTAGTTGTAGTAGTCGTAGTAGTAGTCGTAGTAGTAGTAGTAGTAGTAGTAGTCGAAGTCGTAGTCGTAGTCGTAGTGGTAGTAGTGATACTACAGGTAGTGTAGTAGTTTTAGTGGTCGTAGTAGTGGTCGTAGTAGTCATATTAGTAGTAGTAGTGGTAGTAGTAGTAGTAGTAGTAGTAGTAGTAGTACTAGTAGTTGTGGTAGTAGTAGTAGTAGTAGTAGTAGTAGTAGTAGTAGTAATAGTAGTAGTAGTACTAGTAGTAGTAGTAGTAGCAGTAGTAGTCGTAGTAGTAGTAGTAGTAGTAGTAGTAGCAGTAGTAGAAGTAATAATGGTAGTAGTAGTAGTAGTAGTAGTAGTAGTAGTAGTAGTAGTAGTAGTAGTGGTAGTAGTGGCAGCAGTGGTAGTAGTAGTCGTAGTAGCAGTAGTCGTAGTGGTAGTAGTGGTAGTAGTAGTCGTCGTAGTAGTAGCCGTAGTATTAGTAGTAGCAGCAGTAGTAATAGTAGTAGTAGTGGTATCAGTAGTAGTAGTAGTCGTCGTAGTAGTAGTAGTAGTAGTAGTAGTAGTAGTAGTAGTAGTAGTAGTAGTATTTGTTGTTGTAGGAGTAGTAGTATTAGTAGTTATAGTCGTGCGGCATCACAGAGGGGGACGGCCGAACCGTGCATTGGAGTGAGGAGGAGAAGGAGGCAGTGGATGGATGGATGCGGGAGTGGGAAGAAGGAGGATGATAGGATGAGGAGGAGGCGGAGGAGGAGGAGAAGGAGGAGGAGGAGGAGGAGGAAGAGAATGAGTAGGAGCAGGAAGATGGAACAGGAGGAGGAGGAGGGCAGGCACAAGGGCTGGCGGCCAGGGGTCTCTTGGATGCCTCTCGGAGCCTCTTGGGGTATCTCTTGGGCGATTCTTGGTGGCCTCTTGGGACGTCTTGGGGGTCTCTTGGCGATCCCGGGGGGCTCTTCGGGGTCTTGGGTGCCTCGGGGGGGCCTCTTTGGGCCGCTGAGGGTCTTCTTGGGGGCCTCCTGGGGGCCTCTTGGGGGCCCCTTGGGGCCATCTTGGGGCCACCTTGGGACCTCTTGGGGCTTCCTGGGCGCTTCTTTGTGCCATCTTGGAGGAGATCAACCAAAGAAGAGCGGAGCTTCAATTATGGTTGCCCCCCAGGAGGCCAACATGGGGCCAACACCTTAGTAACATCAATGATTTTGGCTCCCTCGCCGAGGCCGTTTTGGACGCTCTGACACCTCCCCGCCTCTCCCGTCCAGGTCAACGTGGAGGGGGTAGGGGGAGGGGTAAACCCCTCCCCGAAGGGGAAGAGGGAGGGGTGGAGGAGGAAACGCTCTAAACCACCGACGCCCAGAGGGCTGGTGGGATTGCCAGTGCACGTTTCGTTGAGCCTGGCTCCTTCCCTCGCCCCAGAAAGCGCCCTTGTCTTGTACAGCTTGCAGACCCATCCCCCCAGGCTCCAAGCCCAATCGTGCACCAAACGACCTCCAGACACTATTGGGGGGCGGGGGGAGGGGACACGAGATTGGAGCCGGGGGCAGACGCAGCCCCGGCAGGGGCATCCTTCGGCGTGTTAGGTTTTCGGGTGCGGAAAATTTGGGGGGTGATGACTAGGGGGGGGTGGATCTCATGGCGGGGGCCACGATATCTCCCCAGATCTCAGGGCGCCTCCTCTTGATTCATTACGTCCCCGGCCCCCCCACTGGGCCGCGCACGTGCCGCCGGTCATGATTTGCACCCCCCCTCTTGGACACCCTCCCTCCTGGCCGCTCCCGAGGTTTGGCCAATGCTTTGCCCCCAGGCTTGGAAGCAACAGGAGATGTCCCGACTGCAGCCATCACAACCTTTAATGCGAAACTTAGGCCGTAATGAGAACCTTTAGGGGACACACCTGGAGCATGCAGCTTGCCACCGATGCATGTCGTCCGAACTTGGCCGCGGCGTATGTTGAAAATAATGCTGCCACGGGTGAGGTCTGAGGCAAAGCTCTACCAACACCACCCGCTAGCACAGCGATGGCTTCACGACGAGGAGGAGGCGAAGGAGGAGGGGGAGAAGGGGGAGGAGGGAGGACGATTAATTATGATGATGAAGAAGCTGATGATGCTGATACTGATGATGTTGATGCTGATGCTGATGCTGATGATGAGGATGAGGATGATAATGATGGTGATGACCATGATGAGGATGAGGATGAGGATGACGGCGACGATGATAGATGATGATGGCGTTGCTGCTGATGCTGATGATGCTGATGATGACGTTGCTGCTGATGCTGATGATGACGAGGATGCGGATGATGAGGAGTATGCTGATGATGGCGATGATGCTGATGATGCAGTTGATGAGTATGATGGTGATAAGCTGTTGATGATGATGGTGATGAATATGATGTTGGGGATTATGCTGATTATGCTGATGATCGTCACTATGATAATGCTGAGGATGCTGATTTTGATGTTGATGATGACGATGATGATGCTGATGATGATGCTGATGCTGATGCTCGTGACGATGATGCTGCTGATGATGATGATGATGAATATGATGAATATGATGATGCTGATGATGATGATGTTGATGCTAATGATGATGATGCTGATGACGACGACGAAGATGATGATGATGCTGATGATGATGCTGATGATGATGCTGATGATGCTGCTGCTGATGATGAAGATGCTGCTACTGTTGCGGCTGATGATGACGATGATGATGCTGATGATGATGATGATGATGATGATGATGGTGATGATGATGATGGTGGCGATTATGATGATGATGATGATGATGATGATGATGATGATGATGATGATGCTGATGATGATGATGCTGATGCTGATGCTGATGCTGACGATGATGACGATGATGATGATGATGATTATGATGATGATGCTGCTGATGATGATGATGATGCTGATGATGATGCTGATGATGATGGTGATGATGATGATGATGATGATGCTGATGATGATGATGAGATGATGATGATGATGATGATGAGATGATGGATGATGCTGATGCTGATGCTGATGCTGATGCTGATGATGGATGATGATGATGATGATGATGGATGATGATGATGAGATGAGATGATGTTGATGATGAGATGAAGCATATGATGATGAATCTGAGGAGGAGGAGGAGGAGGAAAGAGGAGGGAGGAGGAGGAGGGAGGAGGAGGAGAGGAGGAGGAGGATGAGAGGAGAGGAGGAGGAGGAGGAGGAGGAGGAGGAGGAGAGAGGAGGAAGGAGGAGGAGGAGGAGGAGGAGGAGGAGGAGGAGGAGGAAGGAGGAGGAGGAGAGAGGAGGAGGAGGAGAAGGAGAAGGAGGAGGAGGAGGAGGAGGAGGAGAGGAGGAGGAGGTGAGGAGGAGAGAGATGGAGGAGGGAGAGGAGGAGGAGGAGGAGGAGGAGGAGGAGGAGGAGAAGGAGGTTGTTCTTCTGGCCCAGATTCGACTGCACCCTGTCGCCACCCCCCTCTGATCCTTCGAGGCAGCCATGCGGTGGCCCTGGTCCCGGCCCGAGCCGGAGGCGGCGCCCCTTGCGGCGCAGCCGGCGGCGGCGATGCCCGTCGCGGTTGTTGTGCCGGTGCCCACGGCCGGCGGCGAGCAGAGGGTCAGAGGAGGAAGAGGGAAGAGGAGGATTGAAGAGGAGGGCGAGGAGGAGAGGAGGAGGAGGAGGTAGGAGGAGGAGGAGGAGGAGGAGAGGAGGAGGAGGGAGGAGGAGGAGAGGCGGAGGAGGAGGAGGAGGAGGAGGAGGAGGAGGAGGGGGAGGGGGGGAGGGGGAGGAGAGGAGGAGGAGGAGAGGAGGAGGAGGAGGAGGAGGAGGAGGAAAGGAGAGAGGAGGAAGGAGGAGGGGAGGGGAGGAGTAGGAGGAGGAGAAGGAGGGGGAGCAGGAGGAGGAGGAGGAGGAGGAGGAGGAGGAGGAAGAGAAGGAGGAGGAACTCGCTGGAGTTCGCTGGTGTCCACACGGTGGCAGCGAATTCAGTCAACGAGGACCCTAGGACGCGGCCCACGGAGAACGGCTTCCCGCGTGACAACGTCCAGCTCCCTGGCTAGAGACGCCTTAGATGGTCCCTGGGGGAAGCCCTTCCTGAGTTTAGCTGGAGGAGGAGGAGGAAGAAGCAAGGCGACATACATAGGAGTAGCTGGATGCCCGCCCGGATTTCTTGGGTCAGCACTGGGCCACGTCTGGCGGCGTTTCCTGCGCCGCCCTTGCCGCAGGAGGCGCCGGAACCGATACCACTACCCTCCCCTCGTTTTCCCATTTTGGGGCTTCCTCGTCGTCGCCTTCGAGGCTGGCAGGCCGCAGCCAGCGACCCAGACGATGTCTATGTGTGTTCGTCGTCCCTCCCCCGATTGTTTTTTCCGCTCGGTCGCATTACCGATGCCGCTACCCTTCTCTAGTTTTCCCCTCTCTGGGCTTCCTGGGCGGCCCTCGTTCGGGTTGCCCCAAAGGGGGTCCAGCGACAACTGTGTGGTGCAACAGATTTGGTGCAATAGATTTGTGGGGTTGCAATGCACTTGGGGCGTGCAATACATTCCGGGGCGCAAATGTATTGCTGGCTTTTTGCGTGCAGTACATTGCTTGCAAAACAATGCAATACAACTCTCCGGCGAAACACATTTGCAATACAACTGCCCCACATCTAGTGCACCACCCCCTTCAGCTGGACCCCCTCTTGGGTCACCCAAACTCGTCGCCACCGCCAGACTCGCACCGAGGCTCTCCTCGAGCGATCCACCGAGGTCCTCACGGCTCGCGCTTGCCGTGCGCGTGCCTACGTCTACACGGAGGCCCGCGCGGGCTGCTCGGATCGGCGCAGGGTATCCCACCCCCCTGCTTTGGCAGCGAGCCAAGGGAGCCTCGTGTGCCCTCGTTTACCAGCCTCGAGCGTATCCCTGTCCCTAAGATTGACACGCCAAGAGGCGATGACAATCGTAGGGATGCGCCCTCAAAAACTGAGGGAATCCCTGAGATTGGCATCGTGATGAGGATGTGCCCAGCATAGGGATAGGGATATGTTCCAGGCTGGTAACTCGTGCTTCTGCCTTTTCAGTGCACTAGCGCCGACTGGTGCCTGGCGTTCATCGATGAGACAAGTGCCCATGCAGCGTCGAGTAGCGTCGATCGGCGTCGATTGAGCGCCGATCAGCGTCGATTTAGCGTCGACTAGCGTCGACTCGCAAGAGCCGGCGAGTCGGAGGTTGATAGACCTCCTACCCTGACACGTCGATTGAGAATTTGGCCGTTTCCGGTTCGCGAGAGGGCGTCGCGGCCGTCATTTTTGTGGATCCGGGTCCGTCGGCTTCGGCCCGAGGCCGTTTCCACTGAGGGGAGGCTTACCAAAGATGCTATGGGAGGCTCCCATGAGCTGCCGCCGGCCTGGCATCGCTCGGACGTGTGCCTTTTTTTCTCGGCGAGGAGCCTGGAGGAGCATCCTTGATCACTTGGGCAGACAACTCTCGCGCGAAACCGAACAATGCACAGGAATCGACGTCCGAGCGGCGGCGAGCCGGGCCCCGCCGCGGCGCTCGGGGCCGGGCCCGCGGCTCCCGCGCGAGGGCGGCGCTCGGCCAGGGCCGAGCGCTGCAGCGCGGCGCTTCGAGGCGCCCGGGCCGACGCCGACGCCGTCGGCACCAAGGGCTCCCCCGAGGGCGCGAAGTTATTCGCGCTTCGCGCTTCGCGGTCCTCGTTCCTTCTCCTCCTCCTCCTCGTCCTCCTTTTCTCCCTTTGGGGGGGTGGCGCGAGAGCGCGAAGTTATTCGCGCTTCGCGCTTCGCGGAGCGCGAAGCGCGAAGTTGGGAGCCCTTGCAGCACCGGGAGAGCCTGCCGCTCGGCACGAACGAACTGGTACGGAGAGCTTGAAGCTCGCTGAGGGGCAGCGAACGCGGTCTGTGCTTCTGGGGCGACGGGGGAGAGGGCAATGCCTTTGTAGGGCAAGAGCAAGCATGAGCAGCCTCATCGTGGGCAAGCGCAGGCCTGAAGTCAGAGCTTCTCGCGAAGGGCGGCGGTAGGGATTGCTGTTGACCGATCAAGCGCGCCTGCCGAGCGTACGGGGATCTGGCCCTGGAAACAACGCTGCCCCCCCAGCGACCTTCAACGGAGAGCCCACTCCGGCGCAATAGCTCCCAAATGGGTCTTCATCCTCCACCGCCCACCAAACCACCCCAACCCCACCCGAGGGCCACGATTTGCCCTCCATTTCCAGTGGGGGGGGGGCGGGGAACATCAGAAAGACACGTGGAACTCGTACCCCCCAACCCGAAATGCGGGCCAAATGCGGGTCTTCGGGTTGGGCTGGGGTGGTTTGGTAGGTCGTCAATCCCCCTTAACCTCTCTGGCGAACGCCTGCCAGTAGTTGCTTCCTAACCTCTGGACGCCCGAAATGGGTACGGAAAGAATGGGTACAATGCCCAACAGCAGTTCCTGTTCATTTTGAACACAGGATTCGTTGTCCGCGCCGCCGCGGCCTGTGTCCATTCGAGACAGAAGGCCGCCTGCCCAACAGCGGCCGCTGTTGGTTCGGGACAACATTTGTTGTTGGGCATTGTACCCATTCTTTCGGTGCCCATTTCGGGCGTCCAGGGCCGCTCTCACGTTTATAGCCGACCGACAGCTGCCGCGCTCCGGGCGGGGCCTCCTCGGGAGGCCGCGCCCCCCGGACCGCCCGGCCCCGCCCTGCCGCGCGGAGCCCCCGCCGGGAGAGGTGCCCTCCGCGGGCCCGGCGGCGGCCCCCGCCGGGGCGCCGCAGGGCGCGGGGGGGGCGCACGTGCCCCCCATCCCGCACAGCTTCGCCCAGCAGCTGCAGCCCATGAGCGAGGACTCGCGGGGGGGGGGGGGAGATAAAACGACGCGAAGATCGGGACAACATCGGATCGGGATAACTCGAAATCTCTGAGAATCGGCGGGTTTGGAGGATGTATTGGGCGCCGCGGCCGCTCCAGAGCGTTCCGGAACGCTCTGAGAGCGCTCCGGAACGCTCTGGAGCGATTTATCCCGATCCTAGCCCTGTTTTAGGAGAGCAGCATCGCTGAGCCTCAGAGGAGGAAGAGGAGGTATACCCATACCTCTAGCCTTCGGCCGTTGTCCCCCTTTTGGGGCCCCCTTGCAGGATCTCGTCGCAACCGCGGGATCCGCCTCGCAATTCTGGTCAGAACGCACCCCAGGAGAGATCCGTGCAGTAGCTGTATCGGTACCCTTTGGTTTCCCCAGAACCGACCCCTGTCTCCGTCCCCAGGCCCATCCTGGTGCCCACCATCCCACCACCCCAGCTGTGGATCTGCCCCTCGAAGCCCGAGGGGGACCGCCTGCATCCCCACCCCTGGGGCAGATCGGCCAGTGGGGCCCAGGCCACGCCAGTGGGGATAGGGATCGATTAAACGATGCTCAGGAGAGGCAGTGAGGCCAAGCGCTCGAAGACATGCCCGGAGGGGGGGCGTCGCATCGCCCCACTGGGAAGTGGACGATGCAACACATATTCCCTGTACGTGGTCGCCGTCGTCGTCACCGTCGCCGTCGTTGCCATCGAGGGCGCCAGGCCGCAACCTGTGACCCAGACGATATCCATGCGTTTAATATTGCCTTCACTTTTTTTTGTGTTGCTCTTGTCTTTTACTTTCCTGTTGGTCGAATTACTGGTGCCGCTACCCTTCTCTAGTTTTCATGTTTGTGGGCCTCCCGGGAGGCCCTCGTGTCCACGGTTGGATTCACCTTGCAATTCTGGCCAGCACGCGCCCCAGGAGAGGTCCGTGCAGTAGCGGTATCGGTACCTCTTCAATTCTGGACGCTTCGCGTATCCCCACTAATGCGACAGTCTGTGGCAGCTCCGCTTGCGAGCTGGCGCCGTCAGGGCGCCTCCTCGTTGGCTTCCGCTGGCATTCGCCCAGTGGTCTTCTGCATCCCTAATTATCTGGCATTGCGCCCCATTGCCTAGTGACACGCCCTCTGGACTTCTCCTTGCGGGCCGCAAATCAGCAAAAAACATATCCCCACTAATTGGGTGCCCTCAGCCTGTAAGCTTCACTGCGCGGCACAGCAGCTGCTTTGTGAGCTGGCCCGGTCGGCCTGCGGCGCGCCCAGTAGCTATTTAGGCCTGTTTCCGCGCCCCGGACAGCTTCTGACTCCGCCTGCGCCTTCGCTCGCGGACGCGACCGAAAAAGTATCCCCACTAATTTAGGCCGAAGCTCGCCGGTTACGACTTCCGGACGGCGTCCGGCGTTTCCGGTGCGCTTGCGATCAAAAAAGTATCCCACTTCACCCATCCAGAAACGATGTCCAGGCGAGTTGAGGTGATCAGGGAAGTGCAGGAGCGAAGAGGTGGCCGGCCGAACCGTGCGAAGTACGGAGGAGGAGTAGGAGGATGCTGGATGGATGGATGGGGGAGTGGGAGGAGAAACGTGAATAGGATGAAGATGATGATGCGGAGGAGGCGGAAGAGAAGGAGTAGGAGGAGGGAGGAAGGAGGAGCAGGAGGAGGAGGGCGAGCAAAAGTGCCAGAGGTCTCTTGGATGCCTCTCGGAGCCTCTTGGGATCTCTCTTGGCCGCTTCTTGGAGGCCTCTTGGGACGTCTTAGGGGGTCTCTCGGTTGTCCTGGGGGGCTCTTGGGCGTCTTGGGTGCCTCGGGGGGCCTCTTGGGGCCGCTTGGGGTTCTCTTGGGGGCCTCCTGGAGGCCTCTTGGGGCCATCTTGGAGCCATCTTGGGACCATCTTGGGGCCTCTTGGGGCCGCCTGGGCGCCTCTTGGGGCCATCTTGGAGGAGATCGATCAAAGAAGGGGGGAGCTTCAATTTGCCCCCCCCTCTGGAGAGCCTCCAAAATCACTTCTTGGGCCCCTCTTGGAGCGCTCTTGGAGCGCTCTTGGGACCGTCTTGGGGCTCTCTGGGGCCTCTCTTGGGGCCCTCATGGGCCCTCTTGGAGCTGTCTGGAGGCCTCGGAAGGCCATCGGAAGCGAAAAGGCGAGAAGGCAAACTTCATTGACGTTCCGTCGGTTTTTTACGGAATTTGGATTCTTGGCGGCCTCATGGAAAAGGCTCCGTGGCCGCTTGGAGCCGTCTTGAAGCGGTCTTGGGTCCTCTTGGAGCGGCTTGGGAGCCATCTTGACGCATCTTGGGATATCTTGGGCAATCTTGAAGGTCATCTTGGGCTCTCTGAGGCCTTTGTGGAGCCATCTTGGTCCATCTTGGACGCTCCAACGACCCGCGAAAAAAGGCCCTGTACAGGTCCAGGGGAGGGGATAAGGGGGAGTGGTCAACCCCTACCCGAAGGGGAAGAGGGAGGGGTGGAATATGATCCCCGTAAACCACCTACGCCCAGAGGGCCCGTGGGATTTCCTAAATCGGTCAAGCATGCACTTCGAAAGCTGTGCTCGCCGCCGTTCAGGCGAGCACATTGGCAGCGCCACTTTTCAACGACCTTACTGCTTTCATTCAACAACCTTGCGTGACCATCGGGGGTGTCTCGGAGGGAGCGGTGTCCATTGCGGCGCCACGGAATCTTGTCCGACGATTCGCAACCTATCATTGCCGCCGAGAGTCATTGTCGGAAGTTCGTCTGCGCGCGACTGAACTCGATTGTGCTGGTGTTGCAGCGTCGTGGCATGATTTTCCAGCGGGAATTTCCAACCATCCTGTATTGTTGGACCCATCTTTTGAAGAGATAACGCCCCGTCTCACTCTGCTTCTCCTCCTCCCTCCTCCCTCCTCCCATCCCTGCCTCTTGTCTTCCGCGTGTCAACCACTTTCGAGCCACACCCGTCACACGCTTCGTGGCCCCACAGAGGGAGCTCACCCTGAGGCCCAGGGGGGGTGTACCACATGCGGCCGCACCCGTCGCACCATTCGCAGCCCTATCGGAGCTCCACCGAGGAGGAGGAAGACGAGGACGAGGAGGAGGAGGAGGTTGAGAGGGAGGTGGAGGAGGAGATGAAGGAGGAGGAGGAGGAGAAAGAGGAGGAGGAGGAGGAGGAGGAGGAGGAG